CTCGGATGCTGAATGCTCCTACCATGCTCAATGCATAACATACAACTCTTGGGACCCTTCTAGCATCCCAGTGAAGTTGGATGCCATTTGTTTTCTTTTTATAGGAGGCATGGAGGACTTAAGAAATTTGTCCAGGGTCACCCAACCAAATGGAAAAGCTGGAATATAGACTTAGGTGATCAGACTTTGGTGTTGAACCCTTGAACATTTTGGCTGGGGATAGTAACAAGGCACCAGGGTTTTATCACCTGACAGTCTTTTAAATTTTCTACTTGGCCAGCATTTCATTCCCCTTCCTTGGGTTTCAACTTCAAGATGTATTTACATCTGGTCATTGGTCTTGGGTCCCAAAGCCTATTTTGAGAAAGAAATGGATGCTGTGCTACCTTTAAAAAGAGCAAGGCCAGCAAGCCCCGCCTGTGGATTTCCCCATCTTACTGGCATGTTTGTTGGTTGTAGTGAGGTCAATAAAGAAGTAGAATGAAACCTACCCTTGAATCCAGATGGCCTCTGCGAGGGTGGACAAACTGACCTTCACCTTGGGGAGTTTGGGGACATCTCAGGACAGGGCAACTCATCCCCCAGGAGAAAACTGCCCAGTTAAAGCCTGTCTTCTGGGACCTGGAGCCAAGGGGGATAATTTTAGGCAATTCCTAAACCTTAGCCATTTTTGTCTTTGTGGGCCTTTTACTTCATTAAAAAAACCATAAAAAATTATGCATCTGATTTTATAAATGCAAGTATATCAGTATTGTCAATTAAGTCCTTGTGGCTTGATAGCTAATTTTTTTCTACTGATGTTTATATAAACAAAAACATTTTTCAGCCCCTATGTCCTGTGTTTGCTGTGTCTCATGCATAAATTAGCCCTGCCTTCAGCCTTTAGGCCCAAGTGCGTATTGTTTGTGTGTGCCCGCTTCTCTTCAGATATGTTTTCAGAGTGGTGGAAGGTGTCCTGAGCATTAGATATTGGACTGACCTTGAGGACTCAACCAAGGGTTGCTTCTTTGGCTACTGTGTGTGGTACAAGTGCCCAGAAGGGGTTGGAAAAGAGGGATTAGCGAGTTGAGGACTCTGGATGCCCTGGGAAGATCCTATGCCCTGCTCTGTGGAGCTGTGGACTAATATGGCTGTGATGGAACAGAGTGGTGGAGGAGACTTAGCCATTGCAGGAGAGAACAGGCAAGCTGATCTATCAACTCTGCAGGGCCTAGACATTTCAGCAGTAGACTGGGAAGTCCCAGACCCTTGGGTTAGCACTGACCCCTGAGCAGAGCATGATGCATGATGCTTCAGAGGTTATTTTTCAAGAAGATATGGGCACCTCTCAGCATAACACTCATAGCACTCCCATTTATTTCCCAGGCTCATGTCAGACTTTCCTGAGCCTTTCCCCCTGAGCCTTCTGCCCTCTACTTCTGTGTCCATCTAAGAAGGCAAGTTGGCCACTGCTGCATGACCCAACCCCACAGGATGGCTCTGGGGACCTGATGGTACAGAGGAAATCTACTGCACCAGGACAGGGTGATTCGGTGTCCATATTCTGAGGAACGCAGCAGGCAGCTGAGAGGGGAAATTTGGCCTACTTTTGGGGCCCTTGAATTTCTGCTGTTCCCACATCAAGAAGCAGATAGGGGAGGGCAGGATGGGTGAGGAGGTTTGGGGCTGGTTCCTGGGTCTAATTGAACAGGACTCCTCCCCAGCCTTGCAAAGGTGATCTTAGTTTTCCCCGTGGGTGATACTGGAGTTTCTGGAATGGGGTTTAATCTTGCCTAATTTATGGTGAAACCCATGTTACCCTGCGCCCCTGGGGAGTTAGCCATTCTAGAAAAACATTTCCAAGTTTCAATAACTTTATATATTTAAATATTTCAACTTTAATAGTTTTGGTCAGAAATCTGTTTTTAAAATGCTGTACAATTGACCCTCTCCCCTTTTGTGATGTCCTGAGGTCATGATCAGTACAATGCTTGCTTTGGGCTACAGAGCACTAGAGTCCTCAGGGGTCACTGAGGGATATGGAAATGTTTGCATGCATGAGCTATCTCCAAGATTAATGTTCTTTCTCTGTCTGTGACCTGTCTCTGGGGTCTCATGTAGCCCAGGTTGGCCTTGAACTCATATAGTCCTGGATGACATTGAACTCCTAATCTTCCTGATTTCATTTTTTTCACTGTTAAGATTCAGGCATGTACCACTACACCTAGCTTTGTTCCCAGAATTCTTTTTTTTCTTTTTTGAGACAGCCTCACTATGTAGCCCTGACTGACTTTGGACTCACTATGTTCAGGCTGGCCTCCAACTCACAGAGATCTGCCTGCCTCTGGCTCCTGATGTGGAGGTTAAAGGCATGCGCCACCATACATTCTTGTCCCCAGAATTCTCATGTAGTGTCTTCTTTCCTCTTTGTCCTTTAATACTTCTTGACATACTTTATCCACTGAACCATCTCTCCTATCCACTTTTTTCTCCTTTTAATTTTTGTGGTTTAATTCTTTGTTACCCAGAAACTACGCTTACTGGAACAGTAGTGTTGTGAACCCTTAAGGTTCTTCATGTGATAACTCCCTGGTCTTGTGTAAAAAAAAATAAAAAAAAATAAAAAAAAAAATGCCAAGGCTTCTCAATGCTTGGCATAGTGACAAATCTTCTGATAATTAGTCTTGTTTTCCTTTGTCTCCTGGTTCTGAGGTAATAGATACCTGGGGCAATGCTCACCACCAGCACCACCACTATCACCACCACCACCACCATCATCAAAATGATGGCTGACAGGAGTGTGGACAGCTTCTGTTCCATGTATTACTTTGACTGCTTTATCTTCACCATATTCTCTTTAGTTTTATGAAGAACTGTTGGGTATCCAACCATTTACATTTAGGAAATTAGAGATCAGGGAGGCAATGTGTAGCAAAACACAGCTGATAATGTGGCATAGCTGGATTTAACTTGAGCACCCTGCTTTTACTGCTGAACCCGGTGAGAACAGGCCAAGTATTAGGCTCAGTGGGAAGGGAAAGGAATGGATGGGGCAAATCTACTGATTGCTTTTGGAGGCTGGGGACGGAGTAGGGCATCCCTCAACAGTAGGTACAGCTGTAACACTAGTACCCAGGGCTGCTGTACTTGGTAGGGAAGAACTGATCACTCTTTTAGCTGAACACCATCCATTCCCAACAACTCAGAGAGTACACCTTTCCTTTTACAGCAGGTGCTGGCTCTTTCCTTCAAACATATAGTTGGTCCCTGCCTAGGTGGGGGAACTGTGGAGTCAACCATACTGTCTGGATTCTGAAGGGTCCACTGTGAACTAGATGCCTCACCTCAATCTTTGTATAGAAGTACTTTAAGAGTCATTTCATTTGGGGATAGGGACTGTAAGGTTTTTGAATGAGCATTAAAAGAGGAAAAAATGCAAGGTCTGTTGCAAAATACTCCCATACACTCACCTAGATTTTGTTGGGACTTGTGGGCTCCTGACTCTAGGCAGTATGGGTTGGGGCTGGGCTGTTGGCGTCTTGCCTTTTAGAGCATGCTGGGACTTGTCTCCCCGGTTATAACCCAGCCACACGATTCTTGTCCTGTCACCCTCCCCTGGCTAGATATGACTCAGCCAAGGGTGACACTGTGGGAACCAGGGGGAGGCATTCAGGGTCCCCTCCACCTGGACTGTGCACATAGAAGACACTAAGGAAGTCTGAAGAGATGGGGTGGCTGCTCCTCAGCAGACATCTCGATGAGGTTTCATGCCTTGAAACCAGAACTACATTCAGAGGATTCATAGATAGTTCCTGTTCTTGGGGGCTCTCAGTGGCATGGGTGGAGTTGGTAACATACAGATAGACTTCAAAACAAATAAAAGTCAGTAAGGTAGTACTCTAGCAGCCTAGGAGCAAAGGACTATGGGAAATTCCTTCTTTCGCTTTTTGAGATAGAGTCTCCTGTAGGCACAGCTGGCCAGGAACTCACTTTGTAGACTAGGCTGGCCCCTATATCTCAGAGATCTTGCCTCTACCTTCTGAATGCTGGGATCAAAGGCATGTGCCACTACTCCTGGCAGGGACTCTGGGCACTTCTTGGCAGGGACAAATGGAGAGTGATAGCGGAGTGCTAGAGCCTGGTTTGCACTAGCAGGTGGCTGACTACCTTGTTTCCCCCTGCCAGTCATGCCATGGCTCAGTGATCTTTGTGGTATGAGTTTTTAAAATCTCACCTGATCTGCTTCATTCAGATCGTAAATGAAGAACTTAAACCTGGGCTTGGTTGTGGGTGAATCTGGGAGGTTCTCATGAGACTCCAGGGATGACCCATTCACATTTCACACTGAATGTGGCCACCCGGCCTTTTGGCTGTCTACATTCTTCTGTGCTCCCATTCTTCCCTTTCTTCCCTAAGGGCAGAAAGAGTTAGGAATCTCTCATTTCTCTTCAAGCTTGAGCTTGGCTCCAGGATCTGTCACATAACAGGGTTATGATTTTGGTCAATTAAGTGACCTCTGTGAGCCTTGACTGGGAAGGATGTCAGTGGTACCGTAATGTATTTCATATGTGTCACTGTGATCAGATACCTCTCAAAAGCAAATGAGGGAGGAAAGCATTATTTTGACTGATGGTTTCAGAGGGACCTAATTCATCATGGCGGGAAAGGCATAGTGGAACAGCTCTGAAGTAGGGTGGGCTATAGCTCCCAAAGGTCCAGCCCCAGTAACCCCCTCCACCAGCCAGTCTCTACAATCTCCCTAAACAGTACCACTTGGGAACCAAGTTTTCAGACACATGAGTCTATGCGATCATGAAATCATGATACCTCTTAAATGTTACTGTGAGATTGAAATGGATAATCCAGGTAAATTGTGGTATATGGGCCCAGGGGCATAGTTGGCACTCTTTAGCTCTAGCCATCTCCTTTATCATTAGTTAGATTCACCCTCCTTGAGATTTGGGTACAGTAGGGCCCTTCTTTCTGAGAATGTGAATCTGGAGTTCTTCCTCTCTTTGCAGACAATGGTGATGACCACTCTGAGGGAGGCCTGGTGGAGAATCATGTGGACGGGACTATGAACGTGTTGGGAGGTGGAAGCAGTGGTGGTCGGAAGCCCCTCAAGTCAGGCATGAAGGAGCTAGCTGTGTTCCGTGAGAAGGTCACCGAACAGCACCGGCAGATGGGCAAAGGTGGCAAACACCACCTTGGCTTGGAGGAACCCAAGAAGCTGCGGCCACCCCCTGCCAGGGTCAGTGGGGATTGGGTCTGGCCGAGGGAAGACGTGGAAAGGGAATCTCAGCACCAGGGGAGGACATCCCACTGTGTCCCATGTTATTTCCCAGGGCTTCCATTAACATATTTGGTGACCTTTGGGCCACATAGTACCTCTGACACTGAAAGGAATTGGACATGTGGATTCTTGAAATCTGTTTTAAGACCTTCATGTTTCTGTTTGGCTTTGGGAAACTGTCCTAGAAAATCCAGAGATGCTCTCTCTTATGGGAATGAGCTTTCTGTGAAATGCCTCCTTTTTCTCTTTCTAGCTCAGATTTATTATTTGGACTATGACCCTGGTTGAGTTTAATGCCAGAGAATGGAACTTGGGCTATGAGTTGGGGTATTGACTCCAGGTTGGGCCACAGGTTGGGGTATAAACTCCAGAGACAGCGATGGCATTGAGTTGGTCCACAGATTGGGGTGTAAATTCTAGGGACAGTATTTGAATTGACCTGGGCCTTGGGTTGAGGTAAAAATTCCAATCTTTTCACTTTGGGTAGAGCCCATTTTGACCCATTAAGGCCATTGTCATAGAAGAGAGCAGGCATGTGACTTTATATAGGGGGTGGTTGGCACAGTGAGGTCATTAGGTTGGTTGCCACTATGTTATCTGCTAGCTGTGTGGTGTTGGGGAAGTCCCTGTGGATGTGCCAGTTTGTGAGACCTTGTCGAGCGCCAGGGTTTTGTGGGCTCATTTTTCTCACTCCAAAGTGTCTTTTTGTGCCTGCCTGCCCTCAGACCCCCTGCCAGCAGGAATTGGACCAGGTCCTGGAACGGATCTCCACCATGCGCCTTCCGGATGATCGGGGTCCTCTGGAGCACCTCTATTCCTTGCATATCCCCAACTGTGACAAGCATGGCCTTTACAACCTCAAACAAGTAAGTGTGAGCAGCAGCCTGGGCCAGGAGCTTCCACCTCAGCCCCAGGGCTGTTATGCTTGGTTCCTGCTCCACTGGTTTGTAATCCTTGGAGGCTGAGAGCTGAGCTGAGATACAGGCTTCTGTAAGCACAGGGATACAATGCCAGTTCCAGGAGGCTCCCCTCCCTGGCCTTGGGCAGGTCAGGACTGACTGCACTCTTGCAGCCACCTTCTGGTGTCCTTGGTGTCTAGGTTGAGATGGAGCCTCCCAGGGAAGTGAAGGAAGTAGGTTTAAGCTTTCGCACCTTGGCTTTTCTGGAGAGCAGACCTTTGGGCCCACCTTTAGAGATTTGGAGATAGCTACAGTAAAAATGGCTTTATAAAGGCACCTCAGCTTTGCCTAAGACCTGATTTCTGGGCCCATCTTCAGAGGTTGTCATTTAATAGGTTGGTTAAGGATCAAGAGTTTGCATTTCTGGGGCTGGAGAGATGGCTCAGTGGTTAAGAGCACTGGCTGCTCTTGCAGAGAATCTGGGTTTGGTTCCCAGAACCCACATGGCAGCTAACAACTGTCTGTAACTCCAGTTCAGGGGATCCAATGCCCTCTTCTGACCTCTGCAGACATTGCACTACACCAGTACACTTACATACATGCATAAAAGAAAAAGAAAATTTTTTAAAATTCTATCTTACCTGAGACTGATAGAAGGCCAGTTCTGAAATCTTATATAGTTTCAAGAAAAGTTTCACATAATAGAAATTGAAGACAGAATTTAGCATTTCAGTGCCCAGTGATACCAGAGAGTATGCCCAGGCAGTGGATTTATACCACGCCTGGCTACATTTCCTTTTTAAAAATATTTTATTTATTATTTTTATTTTATGTGTATGCGTGTATTGCCTGCATGTAGGTAAGTGTACCCATGTCATGTGTAATGCCCTCAGAGGACAGAAGAGGCTGTCGGATCCCCTAGCTGCCATGTGGGTGCTGGGATTTGAACCTGGGTCTTCTGCAAGAACAACTAGGGTTCTTAACCACTGAGCCATCTCTCCAGCCCCCTGAAAACATTTCTAAACACAGTAGCCTTACATCATTCTAAGTATATTTGGAGAAAGTTAAGGAAGTTTAAACAAACTCCCAGGAGCCCTTGCCCTCCTGTTTCTTTTATGATTCATCCTTTTAGATCTCCCACCCCTCACTTCCTCTATTTCACAGTCCCTTACATAGGGGAAGAAGAATGTGCATTTCCTGTATGAAAGAATGGAGAGGGAGAGGCTGCAGGGGTCAGGACGGAGACCAGACTGTGTGGTCTGCAGCTGTCATTCTGTTTCCAAGCAGAGAATCTCAGCCCTGATTGTTGTACATGGGATTCTCTGGGGAGCTTTAAAAAAATATAGACACCAGGATTTACTAGAGACATTTGGAACTTTCGTGTCTGGGTATTTTTTAAAAACTCTTCTGGTGATCTAGTGACTTATCAGGGTTGACCTGAACAGTGGATGCATGGGGCCAGGAGCTAGGGTAGAAGGCTCAGTCAGTCCTTACTCCTTCAACTCCTTCATTATGTAGGCACCTTGCCCCTCTGAATGTTACTCCCAGTGCTCAAAGCTGATTGTATATATTACCTTCCAACTGTAAACCAATCACTTCATTTGGAACTTGGAGGAAATAATGATCACTTTTAATGTGAACCAGTAGATCTACTATACCTTATGGATCACTAAAGTGATGTGTAATAATTATTGTAACTTGTCATAAGATCAAAGACCCTGGATGGGAATGCTGAGGTGACTGTGGGCAAGTTACCGGCTATAAAGTGGGGACAGTGATGATACCTAATACACAAGGTGTCTGTGAAGACTATGTGAATATATATGTTAGATATCAGTGCATGATTGGAATACGTTTCTCACACATACTTTATCAGGACATGAGGATCTTCATCTCAAACCCCAGTTTACTGGGTCTCCCACTGGATGAGACCTCTGAGGATAGGAGATGAGTCATTTCGTGGTCTTTGAATGTCTTCAACAGCTTTGCTGATAGGTATGGCCCCTTGGGCCTGCATTATCAGCATCCTTCTGCAGCTTGTTAGTCATGCAGAATTTCAGGGCTACCTTTGACCTGTTGCATGTGGGTCTGCCTTTTAATAAAGTTCTCACTGCTCCCTTAAGGTTGGGAGAGGCCACCATGCAGTAGCTCAGCGTGTGAGAGGCTGCTCGGTCAACTGTGGGCTGAGTAAAGGGGAAATCAGGTGGAGTCTTCAACTTTTCCTCTTTTCTCTTCTCAGTGCAAGATGTCTCTGAATGGACAACGTGGGGAGTGCTGGTGTGTGAACCCCAATACCGGGAAGCTGATCCAGGGAGCTCCCACCATCCGGGGAGACCCTGAGTGCCATCTCTTCTACAATGAGCAGCAAGAGGCTGGTGGGGTGCATGCCTAGAGGGTGCAGTAAACCATGGCCAGCAGGTGCCTGGCTTCCCCCACCCCAACACCAGCAGAAATGGAGGATGCTTGAGTGGTGGGCATAGAGAATTTCCCAGTTTTGACACATGTATTTATATTTGGAAAGAGACCACCACTGAACTCTGCAGCCCCCTGCCCTCCCCTCCCCGGCCAGTTTCTTGTACCTCCCTTCCTGCTTCTGTCAGAGAGGAAAAGGGTGGCACGGGGGAAATTGGGGACAGTTTTGAGGGGGGGAAGAAATTTTTATTTTTGAACCCCTGTGTCTCTTTTACTTAAGATTAAAGGAAGGAAAAATAAAATGTATGTCTTACTTGAGTCTCTGGTGCCTCCCTGGGAAGGAGTCTTGGAGGCCCTCTGAGTGTCCTGTCTAATTTGCCCCTTCCTACTATACATGGAAACAAGAAACATGCTCCCTAAATCCATATCTAACCCTGCAGTGAAGTCCAGGATTCTGGTCTCTCACCCTCACTCCCAGGAGAAGCTTCTAGCCTCCTGGACCCCTGGATGATGCTTTACAGGGGAAAGGTGGGATGGTGAGGGAGATGTGGGAGGGCATAGGTCTGTCTTCCTTTCTGGTACATTCTGAAGACACTAGAAACTGGGGGCATAGCAACACATGCCAGTAATCCTAGCATTCAAGGGGCAGGAGGATTCAATTAAGAGCACTGTATTACAGAGGACCTAGGTTCAGTTCCCAACACTTATGTGGTGGCTAACAACCACATGTAACTCAAGTTCCAGGGGATCTGCAGCCCTCTTCTGGCCTTCACGAGCCCAGACATGCACATGGACACGTACACACACGCAGGCAAAGACTTATACACATAAAATAGAAATAAATATTTTTTTAAAAGTCAAGACTAGCCTGGGCTAAACAACACATAAAACCCCCAAACAAAGTAAGAACAAACTCCAGATGACCCTTCAGTGGGAGACAGAGAATGGGAAACATTGTAATTGCTTCTCTGGCCTCTGAAAAAGAGTTCCTTCCTGACCAGGATAAAGTAGTTCACTTAGGTCCTAAGGGAAGAGGCACCTGTTTACCAGCTTATTTAAAAAGGTATCATCTGAGAATTCAGAAGCTGCTTTTGGAAGGGCCTGAATAACTGATTCCTGATCGGCAAAAGTCAACCAGGTACAAAGGGCTATATACAAGTAAAGGAACATGGTCAGGGGCTGGAAACTGAGTCACAGTACAGGGTGAGGAGCTATTTCTTAAGTGTTTTTGTTCTTTGTTCTGTTTGCCCCTGAACCCCTAGTAAAGCCCAGTGACTCATCCTACCTTTTCAATGGGCCCCAAGGAAGGCAATCCATCCTCAATGCAGAGCCGAGCTTGACTTCCAACCTACTTTTGAACCCTCTGGTCACAGAGGGGTCTCCAGGGGCTTTACTCAGCCCACCTTTCTTCTGACTTTCCATCTAGCACATCTGGAGATGCTGAGGGACACCTGGAACCTTTGCCAGGTGATGAACATCCTTTGCAATGTAAGAAAACTAGATGCCCAGAGCAGATCCCTACCAGGAAGGCCGCGCCAGGCCAGGCAGGGTGTGCCTGGCAGCCTCAGAAGTATGTCAATTAATTGTTATGGATTTATGAAAAAGACATTATTAGTTTCATCTTAGAGATCAAGGAAAGCTTTGTAAAGAGTCCTAAACTCCTGTGCCCCTGGGTCTGGGGTCTTTCCATCTGAGCTGGGTTGCTGCTCAACCCTGAGTTAATGCTGTCTCTTGTGGGCTTGGAAAGAACTCAAATGTGTGTTGGATATGGGTGGATCTGGTCCCTGAAGGTCAGCAGTCCCTACATGGGGTCTGATTTCCTTTGGTGGTGTACTCCTGTCATCCCAGCACTTGGGAGAGAGGAAGACTCTTAAGTTAGAGACCAGTTTGGGCAGTGTAAGAAGTTTCAGGTCAATCTTAGCTACATATATAGTGAGACCCTGTATTCCTTTTTTGCTACATTCAGAAGATACTGGAAACGGGTGGGGGTGACACATGCCCATAATCCTAGCATTCAGGAGGCAGGAGGATTCAGTTAAGAGCACTTGCAGTGTTGCAGAGGACCTGGGTTCTCTGTAGTCTCTACAGTCCTTCCCTGGAAAACCAAATACCAACTCATGAGTGCTCTGACCACTGGGCCCTCCATCCTCTTAGCTGCTGTATAGAATAACCTGCAGTGGGCCTGCTGTCCTGGGGAGTACGGTCTCTCAGCCTCTCTAACACTTGAGTTGACAGGTGTCCTTAAATGCTGGTGTCAGGGGCTCATCCTCAGAGCTTCTGGTCTAACTAATGTGAGGGCAGCTCAGACAGGGTGTTTCTTTTTTAAGGGTCCTAAAGGCAGGGATGTGGACAGATGAATGCTGGAGTCAGGACACTTCCATTTGATTGTCTCACCCTTAGTATTGCATCCGGTATATGCACTGGGTGGCATCATGCCCTCTATGTAATTTTCTCCTCTTCCTCGTCAACTTAAGTAACAAGGTCACATCCTTGGGAGACTGCTGTGAAGTGCTTTGAAGACACTGCACCAGACCGGAGACTTTCTCCTGGGACTGTTGCAGGGGCACCCCTCAGCCTACTGCAGGTCCCCAGGTAGCCACCTTGCTTGGTTTAGGTTCCTTCCAGAACATTCTATGGAAGGCTCTTGAGGCCTGTCCTCTGTTTACAGAAAGATGGGACTTTTGCAGTGTATAATGACGGTAACAGACAGTGTGACCTGGAAGTGTAATTGCTTCCATGTGAGAGAATGGCTGGATTGGTGAGGTATTGAATGTCTGGAGATTTCTCACCTAGAACTGACTATGCCTCTAAAGTTTAAGCCTTTACATTTAAAGTTTAAGTTTGGCAAACACGGCTATACTGCCTCTATGTGGTAGCATAGGAAACTGCATCTAAGCTCACTTTGCTTACTTTATTTCACCCATCTTAACTAGAAGGGTAAGACCCTATGGGCCTTAGGCCTAGTAAAAGCCAGTCCAGGAACCCAGACTAAGTCAAATGAAGGTGTTGGTTTATAGTATGGATTCTCAAGTCCTCCCTCAGGCTTCCTGACTTAGCAGGTCTGGAAGTGGCCAGAAAAAAAATCTTAATTTACCTCTTGTGTGATTTCTACAGAAGACTGGTGACTTAATTTGTAGGGCTCAGGGCAAAATGAGTCGAATTTTAAGACAGTAACAGGAAAGCAGTGCACCAAACCTTGAATCCTGGGTGATGGCATTGGTACATGTCCATAAGAGTCCTTCTTTATGCCTTCTGGACTTGGGGACTGCCTGGTGAGATTGTTGCATCTGTTTAATGTGTCTTGGATACTAGCTACCTATGATGTAGCAGTTAGGAACATGGACTGATTTTGAGCAGAATATGGCATGCACTAATTATGAATCGCATGACAGTGCATATTTCTAACTTCTATGACCCCCCCCCCTTTATCTTTTTGAGACAGGGTCTTCCTGTAGCCCCAGCTGGCCTGGAACTCACTATGTAGACCAGGCTGGTCTTGAACTCACGGAGATCCACCTACCTCTGCCTCCTGAGTGCTGGGATTAAAGGCGTGCGCCACCACACTTGGCACTCTGTGAACCCTTTTTACTTCATCTTTAAGTACCAGGATAATTTCTATCTCAAAGAATGGCTTTCAGAATATCAAATAATTTCTATCATATAGTGAGTGTTGGCTAAATGTAGTTATCACTGTATCCTAGGCTCAGTGATAGGGTGTTTGAGTGTGGAGGTGAAAGGCTGTGGCCTTTGTCCTGTAGTGTTTACATTTCCATGGAGGAAAACAGACTCACAGGTCAGTGCTTGGCCATCATGTGATATGATGTGACATGATGTGACAGAGGCGTGCCCTGCAGCAGGTGCTACAGGGGCAATGAGAAACAGCCACGTCTGTTTATGGAAGGCATCTCAGAAGGAGGTTGTATTAGTCAGGGTTCCCTAAAGAAACAGAACCGGTAGAATGAGAAGTATAGAGGGAAAGTTGTAATAAAGTTGTAGACATTAAGGGAAAGGTGTATGGTGTGTGTGTGTGTGTGTGGTGTATGAGGAGTGGGGTTCAGACAAAAGGAGCAATACATGCAAAGCCTTCACCTAAGGCTGCACCATGAATCTGGAGACCGCACACAGCTAAGGATAGGTGGTGTTCACAGAGTGCAAGCAGAGGAGCAGCTGAAAAGGAAGACAGATGAGGAGCCTGTCAGGAAGGATGCTGCATCTTATGGGATTTGAACTGAAAGCTTGGAGATAATTTAGGCTAAGAATGGGCATGACCAGATACGTATTTAGAAAGTGAACTATGGCCAAGAAGGCTATCAAAGAGAAGGTGGCACGGAGAGGAGGGCTGGTGTGGTCCAGCAGGCAGAAGTGAGCATGACCAAAACTAGCACTGGGGAGACACTGAGAAGGGCCGGGTCCAAGATTATCAGTGGGACAGCTGATTGCTCCGAACATTGGATGTGGAGCTAAGTAAGGCGTCAGTCAGGACTGATACCTGAGGGTCTGGCTTGGACAACTGGGTGGATGTGGTACCATTTTCTGAGACAAGGCAGTGAAAGAGAGGAAAGAGAAGAAGAGAGATGGCTTAGTGGAAGATGATAAGTTCAGATTTTGTTGTCTTTATTGAATATTGTAACGTGTAAGATACAGTAAGAGTAAGAGAAGCAAAGTACCTAAACTTAAAGGGTGACTTTATCTGTGGTCAGGTTGGATTTGAGTTTCTTCAAGGAGACTCTGCGGACTGTTCTTGTCTTCCCTTTCATCCTCATCCTGACATACAACACAGGAGTGAGGCTTATCATTTTATTTTCTTTTTTTAAAAGATAGGGTCTTGGCTATGGAGCCCAGGGCTAGAGACTCAAAGTTATTATCCTCCTGCTTTAGTGGCCCAAATGCTGGGATTACAGATGTGCATCACCACATCCCAGAGAGTCCCATCACTTCTGTCTGCAAACTTTTGTTTACCTCCATTGCCTTCTCAGCCTTCCGTATTGCAGAAGAAGAAGGGAGAGTAAAAAAGACTGACTTAGGGTAGAAGGGAGTTTGCCAGGAGGTTTTGTGCATTTGTGGGGACTGGGATGGGAAGATGAAGGAGTTCTCAACGGCTGATCTTGGTTTTCTCTGACAGGGAGAAGGCAAGGAGAAGCAATGCCAGGAGTCAGGGAAGGTAGCACAATGTGTGTGAGACAGAGGAATCAGAGGGAGGGAAGTGAGCCAATAGGTGCCCCTAGAAGCTTTCCCAGGCATGACTGGGCCTGCAGAGTTTTAGAATTCTGGGGTGGTGATGACCCAGAGGACCAAAGAGCTCTTCTGGGCAGAACTGAACAGTGTTGAACAGGAGTGATACCTTGGAAGGTGAGGCTTATCTAAGATAGGAGTGCTTGGTAGGGTGGGTGAGGCCCAGACCAGCAGAGAAAGAGATGGAATCATGGACACTAGTCTCCTCAGGGAAAGAAGAGCAGAGAGTTTGGATGGGTTAAAATATAAAATGAGGGAGACCACATAGCCTGTCTCTCTCCATCAGGTAACTTTGCAGCTCTTTCTTTTACTTCAGGAGTAGGCTCTGGTTGGAATGGAAGAGTGGGATTTATAGACCTTAGATGTGGAAGTCTTTAGGGTCCCAGGAGTTGGAGAGCTGACCAGCTGCCACACACTGGGGGTGAGGATGGGAGACAAGTGCATCCCAGGCCCTAGTCTAGCCTGTAAGTGTCCCAGGTAAGCTGCATGATCCAGAGGTGCCATGTGGGTTGTACTTTCCAACCACAAATTGTGCAGAGTAGGTGGAGCAAGAGACAGAGTAGCCAAGAAGCAGATTGTTAAATGACCACAGGCTGTGTGCAGGGAGTTAGATGATGAGGCCCATAAAGAACAGGGGAGGCCTGGGGAGAGAGGAGAATGTAGAGTGGGTTAGAATGAGGGACAGAATGAGGCTCCAGGGAGGTGAGTCTCAAGGAGGGACAACTGGGATCCTGCACCCTATAGGCATTGTGTGGGACTTAGTACTGTGAGCAGCTTCTGTTGAAGAATGCCAGAAGACTGTCCCAATGGTACCACACGGTAAGCATCCACAGCTTCCCCTGCTTGTAGCCCCATCCAAGGCACCTGTTCCCTCTGCAGCAGCTACTGTAGCTTTGCTTTTAAAGGGCGTAAACAGAAGTGGGGTAGGGGGAGCCTGTAGGATTAGGAGTAGGATCCCCCTTGACCAAAGGTTTCTATGAGTTACGAGCTTATAAGGAACTGGAATAAGTAACTGAGGGATATTCTACACATGTCTTCCTCAAAAACCTCTCCAAGAAGAGACTCATTTGTCTAAAGGTGGATTAAAACCACCTTATTTACCCACAGGGGCTGAGACTCCACTTTAATAATGATAGTAGAGTATAAGGTATGTGTTCAATGTTCCAAGTGCTTTGTGTAATTTTACTCCCTGGAGCTTCTCAACAGCTCTGTAAGGTTGAACCGTGCTACAGATGTACAGAAAGCTCGAAGGAGTGACGGTTTTAGAATGAGTTAAGAGGATGCTTGAGTTGGGGACACTGTCTGGGAAGAGTGACCTTCCTCCACACACCCAGGCCTGGGTCCTTTCTCCTTTTCCTCTGATTGGTAGCCTGGGTGCTCACGGAGCCCTCTGCCCCGGGGAGGAAGGCGACGCAAGCTAACTGAATGCATAACTTTATTAAATAAATGCTTTGTCATGACAAAAGACAAAGATCAAGGAGTAACATAAATTATAAGTTGAATAAATAGTATACAGCAATCTTCACTTTTAATAAAATGTGAGATCCTCTGGGTTTTTCTTTTTTATTTCCTTAAGTACAAAATGCTAAACAGGAGCTGAGCTCTTCCGCATTTGGGTGATTTTCCCCCCCGCGTTATTTTTTTGTTTGCTTGTTTTGTTTCTCACAAACTGGTTTTGTTTGTTGGTTATTATTTTTTTTTCATCTGTTTCACCAGTAAAAAGTATGAGCATTTCATTTTTTTGAAAACAAAAAAGAAGAGAGAACAGAGCTATGGTGTCTGTATGTAACACTATAAAGAGCTACAGTAATGTGCTGTGGTTATTGCTGTCTTAAAAAAACAAAAACAGAAACAAAAAACAAAAAACAACCGGTAGGCATCTCGGAATCTGAAGGAATCTTGTCTGACCACTGTGCTATCCATGTGACAGGCTACTGTGTGACGGTGACCGAGACGGTGGGAGAGATGGGGCTGAGGCTGGGATCAGAGAAGTTGGGGTGACTGGATAGAGGTTGGCTAGGGGCCCCATCCCCCTTGACCCTTCACCTTCCTTCCCCCATCCAGAAGACTTAAAGAGGAGGCCAGCGTCTGTGAAATGGCTAAACTGTATACTCCATTAGAAAACCAAGAAAGCATGTTTTAAAAAAGAAAAACCTAAAAGATGAAGAAACAGTGCAAAATAATTCTTGCACTTTAGTGGTTTTAAAATAAAGACAGTACAACCCCCAGGCTGCCGGTTGGTAAAACCTCCTTCCCTTCTACAACCTTTCAAAACCTAGCCGCCTTTTTCTTGGAAGCCAAAAGATTCCTTTCGGAGGCTGGAGGGTCTTTGTCCTTTGCCCACTCTTCTCTGAAGTTCCGGTTCTCCACCCAAAGCTCTCTTAGGGTCCGAGTCAGTGAGTGGAAGGACTGCTGCCCTGTCTCAAAGGGGGGGGGGGGGGTGTTGA